CACACACATACACAGACACACCACCCCACCCCACCACCCACCCCACCCCACCCACCCACCCCACCCCCCACCCCCACCCCGCCCCACCCCCACCCCCGGGATTACCACATCCCCTTTTCGCAGTGCACTGGACTTACGATTCAGCCCCAGCGCCCACCCGAACTATGAATTCACACCATCCCAAGGGGGGCCTGCATCGCCCCCCCCCTCCCCCCCGCCACCCTCTGCACACAAAAATATTATGCGCGCGCCACCGCCTATCAAAAATCACCGATCTTCAAGAATCCCTTGCAGAAAACGGGAAACGCGCACACGCGCGCGTCGTCGCGCGTGCATGTCGGAATCCTTCAAAATCCTTCGGCGTCGTAAAAATTTCAAAATCGAGCGTAAAAAACACACGTGCACAGGGTTTCGAAACATGGACTTTCAAAAAAGCTCGCGTTTTCAAAAAGCGTGCGTTCGCGCTCTTGCGAAGTCTTTGGAAAACCCTAAGTGCTTCAACCTTCCCATTGAATATGTCAAACGGGCCTCTCGCGCCGCATACCGACATCATTCGCGCGCCCTTGCCCGCGCGCTGGGGGGGGGGGGATCCGTGTCAAATGATACCACGCGGGCCACTCTCGCACGTCGGTCGCGCGCGCAAGTCGAAGTCTTTCCAACACCTTCCTCACCGACGCGAGGACGCCGTCTTCGCCGTTGGCGCTATCACTTTCGGCGCCCGCACTGGCCGCGCCGTCGTCTTTAACAACATCGTCACCAGCATCGCTAATATGATCACCGCGTCTACCGTTGTCGACGTTGCCATGATACCGCGCCCGCGCAAGTCGCCGATTCGCACTGAAGTGCCCGCTGGGATGTGCCCAGCGGTCAGCGCCACTGCGGCCGCGTCGGTCGCGCCAAAAAAGCTGGCCGCTGCGCGCGCGTGCTTGGGCTTGCGCAGCCGCAGAGATGGACCAGCCAACGCGAAGCACGCATCGCAATCGACACCGCATGCGCTTTGAAACCAATTTGCGGGTGGGTGGGTGGGGGGTGGGATAATTGCGCGAGCAGTGGATTTGACAATTCACTACTGGCTGAAATTCATTCTCCCTTGCTAAAAAAAATAGGATCTACCCCCCCCCCGGCGTTATCGACACCCGTTTTCGGGTATGTAAATCAATAATGCTTATGACCACATGTCCATCCTGAAAATGTATTTACAAGATCCCAGGCCAGCCGGGTTCCCCCCCCTGAGGTTCCCTTGTATAATATGGTCATACATATATATATATACACACATCTCTATACTATTTTCATAGTAACAGAAAAGAAGCGCAAAAAAAAAAAAAAAAAAAAAAAAAAAAAAAAAAAAAAAAAAAAAAAAAAAAAAAAAAAAAAAAAAAAAAAAAAAAAAAAAAAAAAACGTTATGCGGTGACATTCTTTGTTCTAACATAACACGTTTTCGCAAATCCCTTGCAAAAATGGGACGAAGTGCACACGCGCGCGTCGTCGCGCGCGCATGCCGAAAACCTTCAAAAACCTTCGGTGCCAGAAAAATTTCGCAATCGAGTTCCCAAAAAACTAACAAAAAAAAACAATGGGTTTCGCAACATGGATTTGCTAAAAAAGCTTCCGCGCGAGTTCTTGCGAAATCGTAAGAAAACCATAAATTGTTCAAGATTTTCACAAAATGCTATTAAACGGGCTTCGCGCGCGCGCATGTCGAAATCTGTCGAACGCCCTTGCGCGTGTGCCGTCGCGAGAACCCTCTGCAAAAAAAAGGACGATGTGCAGACGCGCGCGTCGTCGCGCGCGTATGCCGAAAACCTTCAAAACCCACAGGTTTCGGAAGGATTCCAAAATCGTGTGTCCAAAAAACATACAAAAACCCAAGGTTTCGCAACACGCATTTTCAACAAAAGCGTGCGCGCGCGCTCTTGCGTGGTCGTCGTCGTCGTCATCGTCGCCGTCCTCCCTCCTCCCGCGTCGTCGTCGTCATCGTCGCCTACGTCGTCCTCTGTCTTTCCTCGTCTTCGTCGTCGTCCTCTTTGGCGTCGTGGTCGTTTCCGTCGTCGTTGTCGCCATGGTCGTCCTTTCTCCTCCTCCCTCGTCGTCGTCGTCGTCCGTCGTCTGCGTCTCGTCGTCGTCCCTCCTATTTCGTCGCCGTCGTCGTCGTCGTCGTTGTCGTCGTCGTCTTCCCTCCTCCCTCGTCGTTGTCGTCGTCGGCGTCGCCGTCCTTCCTCCTTCTTCGTCGTTCGAGTCGTCGCCGTCCTCCCTCCTCCCTCGTCGTTGTCGTCGTTGTCGTCGTTGTCGCCGTCGTCGTCCTTCCTTACCCCTCGTCGTCATCTTCGTTGGCGTCGTCGTCGTCGCCTTCGTCGTCGTCGGCGTCGGCGTCGGTGTCGTCGTCGAAGTCGTCGGAGACGTCGTCGGTGTCGTCGTCGTCGTCGTTGTCGTCGGTGTCGTCGTAGTCGGTCTTAAGAGGTTTTGCAAACCAAGGTGCGGGTGGGTGGGTGGGATGTTCGCGCGAGCAGTGGAGATGACGACTTCAAGTTCAGCAGAGTGGAGTACAAACATAGATTGCACCACAGATGTTGCATCACATAGATTGCAAACATAAATGGCACGACGTGGATTGCATCACCTGTAGTGCACAACATAGATTCCACTTCATAAGCTGCACACAACATGTTGCACCGCATTGGCTGCGCTATTAAAACGTCGCTACGTAGAGTGCACACACGAGACTGCACAACATAAAACGCACAAAATAACTTGTATCACACATATAGTTTCACCTATATCCGCAACCGTGTCGCTAGGCACAGGGTGGGCGTATCCTCAGGTCCATGGATTCATCCCCTGGGTTCTCGAAAGGCCCGGATCCTAAATTCAAAGATCTCCTTGCGCTTGCCGCGTGCCCTCATGGGGTGCCCGGCACCTCCCCGCGTAACGTTTGGGCCCAAGAGGGCTCTAAGACAAGCCAAGAAAGCCTCAAGAAACTCCAAAGATGGTTCACTTGGGCCTCGAGAGGCGTGCATATCGCTTCAAGACGCCCAAGATGGCCCCAAGACGACCCAAGAGGCCCTCAACAGGCCCCCAAGAGGCCCCAGAGGCCAAAGAGGGCCCCAGGAGGCAACAAAAGGTTGATGATCCCTAGGTGCTTGAAGGTTTTAGTCCTTCTCGCCTTTTCGGCTTCCCGACTCTCCCACACGGCCCACGAGGCCCCCAAGATCGCCGCAAGACGGCCCCAGCAAGAGGGCACCAAGACGGCCCCGAAAGGGGGCCCAAATGGGAAACCCGAATGGACATTTCCAGTCCTCGGCCCCGAGAGGCTCCCAGGAGCCCCAAGAGGCCCCCAACAGGCCCCCAAGAGGCCCCAAGAGGCCGCCAAGAGGCCCCAAGAGGCCCCCAAGAGGCCCCATGAGACTTCCAGGAGGCCCCCAGGAGGCTACCAAGAGGCCCCAAAACTGCTCCCAAGAGGCCCCCGAGAGCGCTCCGAAGAGACCCGATGAAGCATCCCTGAAAATTCTGACCCACAACCCAGGCACGGTGGCGGGATGGACCGAAGGACATCTGATATGCCAACAAAGGTTGCA